GAAGACAGAGAAAACTTCTCCCAGTCTAGTGCTCACAGTTCAGACATTGTACCCACCTCCATCCCAGACCTCCCCCTCCACAATTAGTCCAAACACAGCGCTCTGTGCATTCACAATATCAGAGCAGAACAGGCCCACAGAGGGCAATACAGCCCTGCCACCTCCTCATAGTTAGGAACAATCAGACTTGTTAGACATGCAGTTTTACCTCTTGTGAAGAAACTCCTCTGTAGCCAAAATCATGTAGTTTATATTCCAGTCCTTCCAAGCTGCCAGAAGTCTCCAGCAAATATTTGGCCAAAATCTTTTTCTGCTCTCTAGAGTTTGTAGCCACTGTGATTGGGTACCATGACTGCACAAGAATAGTCTAAAAGAAAATCCATCACAATATTAGGTGCATATTTGTTTAGAGCCTGACAATGCCCACTTGGCATTTAATCAGGCACAAAAAGGTCTATTTATTTTCATTCCCTGTTCAGAAAGTACTGATGCCGCCAACAGTTTGCTTTAGGGCTTAAGTAATTAGCTTTTATAAGGTAGGCAAGGTATTGACCTTCTCAGGAGGTATCACTAGCAAACTAGAGATACACACAGTTCTCCCCATTCTTCTTTTTAATGGATAAAAGTACTGCTGTGAATTTTCTGTGCAATTATTATGATCTCTTGCCAGGCAGAGGAAAAAGGGTTGTGTAAGACAACTCCAGAAAAGAAATAAAGCAGAAAATGAAAGTTGCCAGAGATTTCCCTTAAAACTATAAAGGATTCAACCTTTAATTAAAGTGCATTAATACTTACTTTAAAAAAACATGTTAAATTTCCAAAACTTACCTCAATCCAATTTGTGAGCCAGTAGCACTCTGGATCTGTGTTTTCTACTGTGAAAAGAACATTTCCTCTGGGAATCACAGAGCCCTCAGGAACAGCCTTTATTTCTATGGGAAGATGGCCATCGTATTTCTGTGTAAGAAACACTAATATTGTTAGACAACAGGAAAGATTAGGACCTACAGCCCTTTTATTTAACTGCAATGGATAAAAGACTATGAGTAAATAAAATCTTTCTTCTTCTTAATTTCTTTCAACTCTAAAAATAAACTCACCAGTCCAAATAAATGAAAAAATCTGCATTTATCAAAATAGGACAAAAATCCCATAACTTAAAAACCAGTCTCTTTATCAAAACAAATGATGGTTATCAGTTGTATTCATTGGGCAAATTGAGCCAGGAAAGCTTAAGCATTCTATAAAAATACGTAAGTTCTACCCACAGAAGAAGAAATATTTACTACTCATTTTCTTCAATGCTTTCACATACAGTAATCTAAAAAAAGTTTAGCTACTATCCTATTATATAGGATATATATATTATATAGGATATATATATTATAGTAGCTATTTAGCTACTATACTATTTAGATCTTTAAAAAATCCACTAGTTTTGCTTAGTAAAGACGTGTGCTTTGTTCATTTATTACAGCAGGATCCATTTAATAACTATTTTAGAGAATATTTACATCTCAATTACTCTCTAAACATGAAGTCTCATATTGTAATGCCACTCTCTTGTCAGTCCTTTATCCCCAAAGGACTAAACATTGTGTGAAATATGCTTTTTGAAAAAGAGTAACCTGCAAAAAGCAACTCTACAAGAGTAATTATAACTGTCTGAAGGAGCTCTGCAAGCTGTACTGGCAATACTGAAAATGTTTTGGATGGTAATATATTTTGACAGAAAGCTTCCCATGAGATATCCTGTTAAAGGCAACAAAAAAAAAATCAATTCAGAAAAATTACAGATTCATAAGTAGCATCAAAACATATTCTCCAGTACACAACAGACATCAGAAATCTCATCTACCTTACAGTTTAAAAGTTTATTCAATAATGTAATGACCTGAAGCAAATTGTGTTTATATACCGCACAGGGTCTCCAGATTTGGAGATATATGGATTAACTAAAAACAACAAAGCCTTCAAAAAAGCTCAAAATAATTTATTAATGATTCAATAAAGGCAAAAGTAGTTAAGTGAAAACACACAAACAAATAGATTTCAAAGTTGCTGTAGGTGTTCATTTTGTCCATGGAAAAAAGTAATAAGATCATGCCATGGCTCTGTATTATATCCCTTCACAAAAACTTTGTTTAGACTTGACTTTTACGGTTCAGGGCCTACATCTCTATCACTCATCATTTATTCCTGCCAGCTTCCAGCCTTTACACCAGCCCACTGCTCTCCAGGAAATCCATTCCTTTCTTTCAACCCTTCACCCTATCAGTATTTATCCATTCATTTACTCTCA